GACCTACTGAGTTCCTCATTTCCTCTCGAATATTCTCCTACTATGCAACATCAAGGCCAGACCAGCTCTCCTTCACCTACTCATTATTCCCCTGCGGCCCTTGCAGCAGCCGCTGCCGCTGCAATCGCCTTGGCTAATTCCTCAGCCTCTGGATCTCAGACTTCTAATACTTCGAATGGCCATTCTAGCGTGCCTGAGGGTACTAATCGTGATTCTCTGGCATTTTTATCTTTGGCTTCTCATCCCTGCTCCGGTCATGATAACACCGAAAAGAGTATTTCCCCTTCTGCCCTCTTCTGTAGGCCATCTTCCGCCGCTCCTGAGCAATATAGTGATCACGGCATAGCGACTAATATTCCTATGTGTCGTAAGCTATCTGCCAGTTGCCTATTTTCTTCGGCAGCCAATAATCCCAGTTCTCGCTCGGTGCTTTCCTCTGCAGGTCTTGCCTCTATGCTCACTGCTGCTGCTGCTGCTTCTGCAGGTGGCGGTCAGTCTTTTCAATGCATTCATCAGGTAATTATGTTTCCTATCTGGCTTTGTGTTTTTAATTATCAATGGAACACTCCATAATCTGTATCATTGTTTTTATTTGGCGGATTCAAATCTAATATTTAAATTTGCTTATTTCCATTATATGAAGTATTCATTAGTCGCGTCTTTAGGTATGTGCTCTGGTCTCGGTTCTTGCTTACCCTTGACTTAGGCTTGAAAGAGTTGGTTTTGTCTACTATATTCTCGTTTATACGCAGTTTTGGTATGCTTGTAAAAAAATCTTGTTAAAATAGCGAAATAATTTTTTGACCCCTTGTGCTAGCAGCCAGTCGACTCCCGCTCCGGACCACTTCATGCTTTTCTGGCCGGTGTTGCTGGACATTCTCATCAAATGACGCATTTTACCGAAGCAGCAGCTGCGGCTGCGGCCGCCGCAACTTCGTCATCTACTTCACACAGGCCCGCCTCACCTTTCACTTCATCAAGTAATCACCAGCATTCCTCCGCCTCCAATCGTTCCTCGACCGTTTCTCCAGCTTGCGCTCCCGCTTTGGCCAACGTTCTTTCTGTTTCTTCCAAGGCTGGTCTACAAGTTGGCCTCCTTCAAACTCAAGTTTCGCCACTGGGGATCTGCCATAGACACCAGGTAACTCCTTCGTCAGAAGCGAATGA